TTGCAAGGGTTCCTCCGACGCATAAAACAATCCATTCATCCGTTCACCTGATTCATAGAGTTCATGAAACGAACCACAGGTGTTAACATGAACGGATGTACTCAATTACATAGGCCAAAAAAAAAGATTGAGCTTAATTAGCAGAGTGTACTTGTCCTATTTGGAGCCAATATTGTTAAAACATGTACATTTCTCCATGGCATGCATCAGAAAGGTCATGCCAAGCTGACACAATTCTACTGCAATGGAAAACTGCCTTTTTCTCTCATTAGGAACGTTGTAAGGTTTACGGTACTATGGCTTAATGGTAAGTGTGCTAAGGTTAACGACTGGATTCCAAATACCAATAATAACACATTTGCAATTGTCTTCGAAATCAAATGATAATAGTAATAATAACGGCACTGTTTTAGACCAAAGGTGCAATTATTTGTGGATTTTCAATATGAGAGTGTATATAGTGTATGAATAAATTCATTCCGCCGCACTATTCATGGACATAAGTCATTTACACGATGTTCTTTGTATAACTCCGAATTTTAGCAAAACTTTTAGCAAAATTAAATAACAGCGAGTATGTTAGTCGCCATTGGGAGCTGTTTTCCATTACAAAAAGAAGCAAAGATAAGCAAAGTTTTATAAGTTCAATAACATCCTAAAACAATTTATTGTTATTAATGAGTTGACCCGCATTGAGATTCGGAGCTTCCTCGATGCCCAAATCGATGGCGTTGCCGGTCTTCATGTCTCAGTTAAAAAATATGTCTCAAAGGCAAAGCGAAAGATGCATAAAGTTTAAATTAGATTAAAGAAACTTGAAAATTCATTGAAGCCGCACAGAGCGTCACTCTTGATGATTCCCGAGTTTTAATGTAGAAATTAACAGTTGTCTTTGGCAAGAGAGTGTCTATTACGCGGTTCCTCATGCTTTTTCTTGGAGTCGTAGGACAAATTTCGATTCGTCAGACTTTTTTAGCGTGGCATGTTCGAGCGAGGCTTGAGGAAGTTTTCGCATCTCAATATCCTTATTCCAAATGTTTCCACTAAGAAAAAAATATCAAATTGAAAGGAATAATTTCGAAAATTATTGATAGACGGCTCGGCAAACGGATGAATAAATACGTCCAGTCATGTATGGAAACTTTTATCAAAATATCGGTTTTTAATTAGATAAGGGCTTTTGAATAGTCGAGAGGAAAATTTTTAGTTTACATACAGGGTGGAAAGAGTTCGTATTTGCAGGAAATACACAACTTACCGTAACAAAGATTGGATTTAGCTGTGCAAGCTATTGTGTCGTGCAAAAAAGGCGCTCTACTATTATTCTTAGGTATAGAGCAGGACGCTTTGCTGTTAGTCAATAAAGTTATCTGAATGACAGCAGTGATAACTGCTGTATCACAATATTTCAGGAATCGTGTATGTATATATACTTAGTTTAAGTGAAAGCTTGTTCAAACAATTTACGTGTGGCGGTTAGAGGAATGAGGCCGTAAGTTGAATCCGTTTCAGTCCCATCACGTCGAACAAATCCGTATATCGTCGTTCTCAAACTGATGAGCAAGACGACGTAGACTGCAACAAGAAACAACTTTTCTCAACGATTATGGAACCTGGACCATTTTTTCCACTGTTAAACTGGCGATTTTAGTGAGTCCTCTTTATAAAGACTAAGAAATGTGAATTTGTGGACAAGGAGAAGAGATGAACTTAGCGCATATATTGTGAAAAAAAAACGGCCGTACTAAGAGTTTTTAGATAATGTCGAAATAATTTTTTGGTTCACTTTTCTACAATGATACCTCACTCACTTAGGTAATTCCAGCTTGTTCAAATATAGCCTTTATTGCCAATGTAATGTATTAATCTGCGGAATAATTCTCTCCGAAGACCTTTGTAGGATGCCTTCTTCCCTTTGTAGAAAATGTTTTATACTCTCATATAAATTTAATTTGCCCACTGGAGTCTCGAAAATCTAACATGTCCCTAAGAAGGGGAAGGGAACGGTGCTCCTCGCATGGACACATTTGTTTCACTTTCTTAAAGCTCAACCTTTTAAGCCATATTCATAAGCTCCAATTCGACCAAACTATAAATGTCGCTAGTCAGCCTGAGCCAGCTGTTTTTATTGCTTTGTTTATTTCTCACTCTTCCACACTGCCGTCTGAAAAAGATATGTAATTTTTCAGTATTATCCTATAATTATAGTATTGATAGTGACGGTGATTATCATGATCTAAAACAAATACGACGGAAGATTAGCTAGATCCACCAAAAGAATGTCATCTCTGCTCTCCATTGTCATTCAGCACTGATGAGATAAATCGATAGAATTTTACTGAAAAGAAGGCACTTTGGCTGAGAAAGCTATCGAACGGTGATTACGATAGGTATTGTAATTATTATTATAGAACTCTGATTACGATATTCGATTAAACAGGACGTTACCAAATAGACAACAACATGAAGCTGAGTTCCGGGAATAAGTAATCATTACACTCTAATCGATTGCAGTGTTTTAAAGTTGGTACACTTAAAAAAATCACCGGTATGTGCTAGAAAAACCTCTATGGCGCGTAATCTGCCTAAAAATGACCTACCCTAAATAATTAATGACGACACTTCTAATTTCGGACACTATCAAAAATGAGCGATCATAAGACAAGCTGCTTCGCAATCTTTAGAATGTTCCCAGTGTGCAAGTACCGAAATGTATAATGAAGACCATTGTATCAAAAAGGCTCAACAGCTTAGCGAACCGTGTGCGATTAATTCCAGTTTTGATTATGTTATTTTGCGGATTATTAAAGAAAGGACGGAGTTCAGATATGAGCCGCGTGTTAAGAACGCTCTAAAAGCTATTAAACCAAATACCGTGAGCTCAAAAAGCTTTTATTATCAATTTACAAACACAAAAGATCAACCTCGTGCACTCTCTTTCAAATAGTCGGGTTTCTTTCACACCTAAAAGTAGTCCAGCGTATCGTTTAAACTGACTCTTAGTTAGACATGGAAGTGTTGAAGAAGAAAAAAAAAAAGAAAAAAAAGAAAAAAACTAGCTTTTGGTTATTTTTTATTTGGCCAATAATTTTCTCTCTTTCTATCTTTGCTCTGTTGCCACTCGGCTGAAATGATTCGAATTTTACGCGCGGTAGCGCCGTTAAGCATTGCTTCGAACGGCTGGCGTCCAGCACAAATTCGCTTACGTCTGTTTTGAATTTAAGCCACGTCTGTCTCTCACCAGGTAATAAGCCAACATGTTTATAACCCCACCATGGCGACGACGTTGCTAACTGGCGAACTGTATAATAATATGGCCTTTTTTTAATGAAATGGTATCACAATTAGGTTCAAGCAACTTCTGTAGCCTATACCTATGAGTTATCGACTGAGGAAATAACACGCAAGCTGCCTTCAGGTATTTTCCGAAACTATGGTAAATTGATGATTAGTGTAAAAACCCTACACCGCATAATCTAAATTTCACTCGTCACTTGACAGAAAAATAATTTTTGTAATCGTGTTTTTCATTTTATAATAGATTAATAATCTAGAAAAATGAAATGCCATTTTTTAAGCCTCATAACGTTGTAACCACAAATAGATAATGTTAAGATCATGGGACTATCAATAGTTGATCTTTCGACTACTTTATTAGTGTGTATCAGGTTTTGTCAAAGCGCTTGTTGACATTACTGAACTTTCTTACCGGTCCAAGAATTGCGTGCCCTAGCCTTTTAGCCCGTTCGATACCTTTCCCTTGGCCAAATGATTGAATCGAGTCGCTGTTAAACGCAATTGAATCTCGGCTCGCAGAAATAGCTTCATAGCTATGTATTAGATTTCCACAGAGCGAAACAACGAGCGAGACGAAAGTACAGATCAGCACTGCTTACTTTAGTTAATATTCACAGGACATACAACATTATTTATCGCACGCCTATAGAAATAATTTTTTACAAATCCATATTGTAGCAATGGTTTCTTCACTGTTGAAGACTGGGTACATACAAAAACAATGCTATGAAAATGGCGCAACTGCTCCATCACAGATGACCTTCGAATATATATAATGAAAAATGTTGGGAAACTGTTCGCTTCACTAAGGCTAGACATAAACATTTTGTTTGTGACCAAAACTTTAATTAAACATTAATACAGCTGTAGTGTCACTTATCGTGTCGTTATGCATGTGGTATACAAACATTTGCTGATGTAACTACAACACACTTAAATATGAGCCGCCATTTGCTTTTAATATGAAGTTGAGCCTGAACAAGTGAAATAAGTATTCTATACAGTATCAATAAAAGTAGTGAACTTGTTTCCCTATTACCGTTTGTGTGATCTAGATCAACTTGCTAATGTAACAATCCGATCCTATTTTCTAAGATATTCAAGCGTCAATAATAGGAGCATGCACTGTACGACAGTCGATGAGTCATATCTAGATGAAGTATGGGTGCGTGAATCGTCATTGCTGGATCAAAAAGGGATTTATTGTGTCTCTCTCGCTTGTTCCAATTATCCCTGGATAATTTATAATTGTTTCTCCAATTCTAACTTGTAATTTATAGCGCGGCATTATATCGTACGATGGGGCAGGTGTTGGGCACATCGCCAGATGAAGCATTGTCTGTTTTCCATTCTTTTGTGGAGTTCCTACTCTAAGTTGAGAGATTACCGAGCCTACCCCTTACAAGTTACTGTATGGAAATATTCACTATACTGCATAGTGTTAATACATGAAATAAACGATAACCAATTACGACACTACAAAGAAACGGTAACCTAGGTTACGGCAAAAGGTTTGTCTGTACAAAATAGTTAATTTAATAATAAAATAATTTATATATAAATTATTACAATATATATAAAGCTGTATAGGGAACACACTATTTTGCACTTTGGAAACACATACATGCACGCATATATCTATGTGTGTTAGTAAAGACACAGCCTTAAGTGAGTAAAATTTACAAATATTCAGTCATTTATTCGTAATGTTATTGTTGGAGAGCAGCATACGAAAAAGACTTAGTCATCATTGATTTGCGGCCATTATTATCATCAAATTAATTGTGCGCTATCTTGAATCACCTACACCGTTCTTTTTAAATTATTCCATGTTACTATAATTCAACACGTAGTACAATAAGTACCACAGAAAGTAGACTAAATTCATTCGCTTACCTACAGCGTGGTGGCACCCTTTCAAACGCTAAGGACATGCATTACGTCCTCGTATGGTTTTTTTAACCCCAATACGTTTATTAAACCTTTCATTCAGCGAGCAAAGATTAAGCCAGCGCTACCAGACGATTCAATATGTGGTTGAATTGTACCACTAATCTGTAGCAGACTGTATCGATTTCGTCAACAATTTTATCACGTGTTTTCTAAAAGCCTCCCATTTTAAAAATTATATGTAGCAGGGCAGTTTCCATAACAAAAAAATAGCTGAATTTTCAATCTAATAATGTAAAAAAAAGACAAAAAATAATATCACGCATTCATTGTTCTCACAATTATTTTTGTTAGCTTAGTTATTAGATCAACAAAACTGTGATAACGAAGAAATCATTAGAAAGTGTCTACCATCACCTATGTTCGTACCGTAACGAAACAAGCGAAAACGGAAAAAGCACTATGTATTTAAGACAATGAATTTCCTAGATTGCATGGCTGACGTACGTTGCGTAAGCATTAGTGGGTCGAAAAACACTACCACGAAAAAATACACGCATCAGTCTGTCTATTTATAACGCATTCTTCGTCACCTTGTTTGCTCTGTAAACTAGCGTGAGCGCACATCCTGTTTGCATCCATATCTGTACCTATTTTCATTCAACTACGAATTAGAACTGATACAGGATTGACACTGGACAAAGGATGCGTTCTATCTTGGTTTTAGTGTTATGCAGTCACTTACTTCTCCGATCAATTTTTATACGTCTCTAAATTTAGCCGAAATTCATTCAACAGTTGTTGAATTTGACAACTGTTTATATTTGTAGAAGTTTGATTGATCTTTGGGCGCGCTTTAATACAAAATCATTCCCTAATCGGTACCATTTGCAGAAACGCAGCGGCCTGACTGGCGTTGAAAGTGGTTAGAAATTCGGCCTTTATTTAGACACTGATTTATCACGCTTTTTATATCAATTTCAATTGTTTCAGTTTCTTAAAACTCGCTAGAGAAATTTAATTAAACCAACCGACTACTTTTGCCGTAAGCCAACTGCTTAACCAATATAATCGACATTTACTAATCGACGTACCGAATCCCACTAAATCAATTGACGTAATTGATAATAGGTCAGTTCAACTAAGTCCTCCCGATTCTTCAATCGTCGGTAGAGTCATTCTCCTAAATACAATGATGCTGAGGCAGCGTCTTAGCATTTTTTTTTTCTAAGCTTCAATCACTCATCAACACAGTCAGCTGCATTTTCATTGGATTATACTGTTGGGTAATTTTTCTTTTCGCGATTTTTTCTACCACATATAGTTTCGTTGTGGCATCTGTATTATCTCAAAGGTCGAGTCTATGACATGCTATACACATGCACATGTAGAGTACCTAATATTATAAATCATAAAGTATATGAGTTTGATCTTCTTCGTCCGCATTGTAGACATAGGCCATAAAAGGTGCAATTTCTGGTCTATTTCGATCGCATGGCACATGTACTACCACACGTTCCTTGTTATATAAAGGAACCGCCATTCGGTGGGTCTACTACGCATGTCTTGAGAAGAATGCAGCGCCGGCTAATATGTTACAAGCTCCTGACTTCATAGACGGCTGGCTTAAATCCTGAACGATAAAAATATTAACTACGATTATTTAAGAGTATGTCTTCGTTAAGCACGATAAGATTGCAAATATCTTTCTAATTTGTAGCCGCTAGCCGGAAAATATATTGCCCGCAACAAACCTCACGTAGGCGTCTCTTTGCTACTGTCGTGTGCCAGGAAACTGAACCTATTCAATAAATGTGTATATTGTTATCTTGAGCGAGATTTTTTTTGGTCAAATCCACGCTTCGTTAGGATCTTCTACACTTTTCAGATTGACTTGACCGATTTCGCCCAACAACGCCAGCCTGCGTCGGTGTACACACATCAAATAACCGCTTCTTCTATGCGATTTCAATGCTACAGAAATTTTGGCGCTTCTTAGAGCAGCTATTTCCTCCTGTTTTTACTTTCCAGCATGGTTAAGGCCGAATGCAGCATAAAACAAATAGATATTGCTTTAAAAAACTTCAAACTAACTTTGTAATAGCATTCACAACGAAACACTACTAACTTTGATGACGTGCAGCTGACCAAGTCCTGCTCATATTCGGAAATCTCGCCACCTTTCGCCGTTAACCTCGACTGCACCTTATTGCTCTCCATGCTTATTTCAATGTACATGATTTCATGTACATTGAAACGATACGTACATGATTCAATGTACAGCTATTTAGACAAACGCAAAAACCCACGACAGTCAACAGCGTAACTGGTACCTTCTGTGGGCAGACACACGTTTTGCCCATTCACCACCAAGAGGAGCTTGCGAGTTTACTATCCGACTCTATTGTTTAATGGCTAATCTCCTTGACCGCCAGGAAAATCACCTTGATTTAAGCAGATTTCGATGAGCGTAGGATTTTTGGATACTTGCGATATTGCCGACGCCACGGGATACACGAATGGTTCAATAACCTCGATGCTCCAAACGATGATTGCTACCGCACAACTGATCGCTGACATAAATGGCATTTTCTATATGGCAGTCCATTAAGGAAAGTTTAACGGGATTTTCTGGTAGTCTAACAATCTCGATGCTCTACGCGGTTTTTTATTGAGCGAGCACAATTGATACTGCAAAAGTTGAATTGGTCGTATTCACAGTCTTCGTTCTTAAGCTGTGATACGCGAAATCTCATAAAAGATGGCTAGCTGGATTCACAGTCTACATTGCGTAGGACCAGCTGTGATGATGCAAAAGTTAATCTAGCATTTTAATTCGCGTAGAAGTACAACTGCAATATCAAATAGAAATAATTTTTGCTAAATGATTTTTTTTCCATTGCATTTTTTAGTACGAGATATAGGTATGATGACTAAAACACTACGCCCCAGAGCATACGGAGCGTTTTGTCAGGTATGAATTTACAAACACTGCTGCACGTTGAATTAGCCTGAGGTGACTCCTATCCCTATCCCTACAGATAGATAAGCTTGACTAAGATTTTATATCTCTAAATGTGGCTGTACATGCCTTTGTGTTTGTTTGGTTCTGAGGTTGTGAGGTGAAATGATGACGGCGACTCACAAATAGTTGACACACAATAGCGAGAGGTCCTTCTAGCCACACTGCCACTTCTATAATGGGATCAACCACTCTTCCGCGAAAATAACGATACTTCCATCAATTCTGAAGTAAGTGACTATTGGTCCAGATGACACTTTAAACACCACCAGTAGAATCGAATTATCGAGAAAAGAATTCCGAAACGCAACGGCAGCATAAAGCGCACAATGATCTGAGGTGGCCGACTGATTCCCCTCCTCACTTCAGCTGGCGGCGTCCTTTCATGAGTCGTAAGAGCAAAAATAAATATCGGAGCGGCACTGACATTCTGCACCGGCATAATACTTTCGCAATCCAAATGTTGCTAACTAAATAGGGTTACGGTAATAGGTTCTTCTCACGTACCTCAATTATGCTGCAAAGCATGTAGTAGGTTGTACATCATATTGCACTTTCAACAAATAGGAGCTCAACCAAGTTCTCATTATCGCCAGTAGACTTTTGTTGGGTATTCATCGCGTCATACGACCCTACCCTGTATATATGTATGATGTGGCATTGAGGAAAAACATAGTGGCAGTAATAATAATATAGAAATACAATTTTTCATTGTTGCCGCCAATCACACTAATTATGTTACTTCCGGGAGAAACACTAGCCGTCGTTATTGTGCTATGAGTAGTTTGTTTAAACCCACAATATAAATTTATGGGTTTAAACAAGCTACTATAATATAATATATATATTATATTATAGATATTTTCGGCTTCCGAGAATATCACGAACAGCAGCGCTGCAAACTTGTATATGCAAGCGCAAGTCATATACTAGCACTTAATTGACGTCTCTAAAATATCTTGTGCGGCCTGACCCTAAAAAGATAGAGCCTCTATAAGGTTAGAGTAAGCAATAAATTATACATAGTGTGCATAATGTTGTCTTGACGCGTGACCATATACAAATATTCGGTATTTCTTTATTAGGAAGAATATTAACGTCGGGTCTAAGGAACAGTTAAAATAACATTTTCATAGAATTAAGTTATTTAACATCATAAGAATGTTTGAAAATTGGCGCATTTTAAATTAAGCGGTTCTGTATGCTACATGCTTCCTACGAACTATATTGTTATAATACTTAATATAATCTCTTTCCCGTCTCGTACATTGTGACATATTCACACTACAAGTTAGACAAATCTTCAATGTTCGTCGCAGAAGCAAATATGTGTCGTGTACCCATGGAAAGTATAATTATTTTAAATGCGTTGTACAGTCAAATATGGGTGTAGTGCTATCTGTCTTTTACATATACCATTTATTAGTCGTAAGACTTACATTGTCTGGTGCACTGTCTTCGAAGTTAAAAGCGCTATCCAGTGTCGCAAAATATCGCAACAAAGCTAATTACATGTCTAATACTTCGCAGTGTTTTAGAACTGTATAGTCATGAGGACAGCTATGACGTAACATATTTCGACTGATAGGATGATTAAGTGAAGGAAAACACAAAGACTACCACCTATCAAATATATTGGAAAATAGGCCGTCATTATTGCTCATTTTGTAATTTTTATGGAACAACATTGCCCAAGCTTATCCTATCATCTGTTGTTACTGCTTTTCGACTCGCAATGGGTGCATGACCAATCGTTCCAGTTTTTGATGAAGGTTCATAATACCGTTTTCTATTTATGCGTTTCTTTGCGTCGGAACTTTTGTGACCTTGTTGATCTGTGGATAGTACACAAAATTATAATGGGATCGGCCGCTTCAAATTTTCATATGACTTGACATTATAGTCACTGTGAAGTTGTTCATTAAATAGTTGTAGCTTTTATTTACATCGTGCTGTGTTTTACAGGACAATATGAAAGGAGAAGTGCAAAAACTTCATCATTATATATACAGGTAAAATGAAGAGTCACCACGACTGACCTACCTCAGCTAGACAAAAAAATTGTTTCATACAGTCCATTTGACCTAACAGAGACAAATATGCACTTAGCACCTATCCTAGTATTTCCGAAGTTCAAACTCCAGAATATACTTCTTCTGCATTTTCTGGACAATCCTTCGGTATGATACGTGTTACTTTACAGATATAGGCAATTTCTTGTTGCCGACACAATATTTAGCGTTGTTTCAAACGTATGTTTTACAAACGCCACTATTAATCAATAGGCAAAAACAGCCATGAGAAAATTTCAACAAAGTCTTCCACTCTCATATATAACATAGTTCTAGAAAGATATTATTGACCATTATGATCAGATGTTCCTATTATAGACATGGCTACTGTCTAATATGCAATTTTAAAAACCTCTTACAGTATATAACTGAATGATACACAAACGAGAGCACAAACAACCATTATAACCTTGACAAGATAATTGCACAAATTGAATAATATTAACCTAAATGACTCATTTTATTCGTTGAGTATATGTTACCTCTTTAGGTGGTCTATGAATTTACGTATTATTAAAAAGCTAAGCTAGTTTACTCAACATACTTTTGGGTCCACCGGTCACTCCAACGACTACTCCCCTATATTGTTATTCATGAAAACTCATTATTATAATAATGCACAGAAGTTACAAAAGCCCCCTAATAAATAATATTAATGTTCACTTTCAATAACATCAACACTGCTACCTACAAATATGAGTAGTTTTTTGCCAATTATTTCTATTGAAGACAGTTCTCGGCTCTGCATTTTCCAACATTTTCTTCTTCGTACTTTGCTATGTTCTTCATCCTTCAAAAGAGGCTTCATCAAATCCTTCCAGTTTCAAATTATGGGACGGCAGTAATACCCTATGGAGGCAATCCTCTAGACCTTCACGAGGATCAATTTCGGCCATTGCTTGATCGAAGGTCACCCCTATAATAGAACCGACCTTGTCGAACCACGGACCAGGTACGGTCATCTAAAAAAAAACAGAAATGTGATAACTTAACCTTATTTGCACGTTGCACTTCTATTATTGCGATTATTTCATAACTTTATTTCGCTTGTTATATGCACCGGAATTGACGTATCTGAACCGGAAACAATTGGTTAATAGACGTGATGCCTTCAATAAGACGCGTTCACACATTTTATATCTATGTGTATGCTAAAAGAAATGTTCTGCAGCTAGATTACTTGAGGTTCGTTCCGAAGTTTAGCTATAAGCAATTTCCTGAGCACGTATTTGTAGTGGAAAAGGGTTTTCAACCAGTGTCGAACTATCGTCTCGCCAGAGGTGCCGAAATAACCGCCAATTTCATGCCAGCGAGCAACTCGTATTTGGGATGAAGCAAACAGCGGATTCGTGGAATCATACAGGTAGGAGGATTGCTTTATGAACTTGATCAGATTGTCCAAGGTCAGCGGTTGAAAGGGTGACCTTGTAAAAACTTGTCGCTCAGTCCGTAACAAATTAGGAACCTGCGACGGATCAGCGTCGCTATCCGCCATCTCTCGATGAATTCTTGGGCTGTTTGTACCTGGAAACGTATAACAGCTGGTACTGTTCGACCAAGCCCGAACCTAGATAATAAAAACAGACATACGTCAATTTGAGTGGCGAAAACAAATGTTTTTGAAAATAACAACAACAGAAGAAGGGAATCTGGCTGGCAAATTTGACTAGTGCGAACTAACATATGCCAAAAGGAACTCCTTGGGTTCTTCAGATGCAGATTTTCTACAGACGTCAAATATTGGTAATATAAAATATAATACGTTGCCAGGAGTAGTCGAACACACCGGCATTTTGCTGCGAACGCTTATATCGTAGTACAAACAACCCGCTGCGTTGATCTTCCGCACTATTCTACCCAGACAGATATACAAATTCTCCCTCAAACTAAAGCGGTTGTAAATTAATCAACTTGAAATTCTAGTTTTTTTGCTAACACTGTGTCAGTCAACTTGTAAATTGATAGAATTGGACTTCCTAGTTTTTGTGCTCCCTTTATTCGTCCTCTTAGATTTTGATATTTTTTATATTTGTATACAAAATAATTTCGCTCGACTAACTGCGATACTAATTACACATTTGTTTATTGAATAGACTGTGTTCGTAAAGACAGGTACAAGACAAATCTCTCTGGATGAGGGTATTCTTTATTCTTTTTTTGTTTCATTGTATCTAATGACACACATTTGTCGTGTAGTATATGTCATTGGCGCATACGGCTATTTCGTGCGTACGTTTCAATCATGCGCCGACCTAATCGCTTAAATATCTGATCATTTTATGTGAAAAATAAATATTGGTAACTAGATGAAGCGTCGTGACAATCTCGTACTTATACAAAAAGAGTAGCAAAAATTGCAAATATAGAAAACACATGACCACTACCACCATCAAATTTACTAATGGGATTTATTTGTCTTTATGAATTTATTCGTTTTCCGGCCCGATCTAGATAGAGCAGACGGACGTATTTTTGGCATACGCAAAGCATTTCTTTGCAAGGTACAGCACGATTAAATACGTACTTGGCGTGTACGACTGATTAAAGTGTACCGCGTAAACTTTCCCGTCATTGATAACTCTCACACTAACTAGAAGTAAATATTCATGCTTTGACTCACCGATATCAGCAGCGTTTAGATGTACACAACTATACTGTACGCATTGTTTTCCCTCCCGCTTTCTACTCAACGTAGTGTTATTGTCTAAGCAAAAAGAGGGCCCGCCAGTGCCCTCACCCACAGTTCGTTCTTTTATACACACATGTGTTTTTATATATATAAATTATATATATATAAAATGCATTAGTATAAAAATATTATAAACGTGTAGTCACACAATTGTTCTATCAAACGAGATCCATTGCGTTAGCAGCAGACCAATCAATGTCGACATATTGTTGCTAACTCATATGTGCTAGGTCAAGATGGCTGTATGAGTAACGAGAACACTCAGAAAAACACAGACCGCCTATTTGAGATCGAATGAATGTTTGCAAGATTCCTTGGCCCGTGTGCATCATAGAGATTAATTTTATCGTTTGGAAACAAATTACGTAAAATAAATGAAGTAAGAAACCACAACTACCAAGCAAAAAAATAACAGAAGACACGTAATTCAAATCGATATAGTATATACAGTATTAACCATGTTACTATTATTTATATATTGTATGAACCTTGTCAGTTAGTTACAACTAGCTTTTAGGAGGAAAGATTGTTACCCAATTTTTGGTTTAGTATGTTTTATAATGAAGCCCAACAATATTTTGTAATGAAATTAGCAGAAATCGAATATCAAACTTTCATAGAAGAATTTAAAAATTGCGCGCGTCATCTTGGCGGGTTGTAAAGAGGGGGAAACGTGGGTCTGTCTGTCGCAACACACATCTCTCTCCAATCGTCTCGCGACATTACTCGAATTTTCGATTGATAGCACTTTTCTTCCGCAGTTGTTTGTGTGTGTTAGAACCCTTGGTGTATTATACAGAAAAAGAGCTATCTTATAGCAATGGCTGAAAAAATCCAAGAGGTATGTAGTATCGCATTACGTCAAAAAAGTGCTGTTTTATTCAAACTTCTTATGGGAAAGTATTAGTAGCGCGGAAGTTGCTTGCAAATCGTATTCTCGTCGTGGCCAATCATTGGCAAATTGCGGAGCATTAACAATTATTCATTAATCTAGTTTTCAAGAAAACAGGAACTGACCACTTCGTTAATACTTTAAAACTAATCGATTCAATGAGCACGCAAAAAAAGATTTTGTTTAAAAACTCGTGTAACTGACCACGCAGTAAATCAGCCGTAGGACCAAGTAGTATGCCTGATTTTTAATCAGATGTACTACTAAATTTAGTAGTACGTACATAATGATATCTAGTAATAAAAATTTCAAAGGTATGTGATCGTGGATATTTTGTACCTCACATATCTGTAGTAATCTTCTTCTGTGCATTCTGCCTATAAAAACGTTACACAGTTATGAGTGAAATAATAAACTGGAATTTTATTTGAAACGATTATTGGCTGCACTTACGTGGAACTGCGGGTACAAAGAGCATCCAAATAAAGACGAAGAAAACGGACAAAAGTGGATTTGATAAACAGTGCGAAGTAGCACGTACCTTATCGAAGAGGAAAAAGTACATTCATAGTAGGTTTAATAGTGGGCCTATGTTGTATAAGAATCTATTTTATTTGAACTTTGATGAGCAATCAACCTAGAAAAACAATATATTTCGAAAATTTTCATTTGAAGCTCCAGCTAGCAGCATCCACCATGCAATGCGGTTCCAGTTACACGCACAGAAGTATGCATGTATTTCTATTAAAACTAAACAAGCTGATTTGATATACTAAAAAATACTAAAACGTACTTGTTTAAAATTTAATAGTGCCAATATTTATTGGGTGATTATAGAGAGCGCTAAGTATTACTTTCGAGAAATAAGATTTAGTAAAATTTCCTTCGTCACGATAGACACATGTCTGCGTAGTAATCGCACAAAAAATCTACAATACATTCGTACTGACTAGTCGGCTGGTTCTGTATAAATAATTTTACTAATTTTACCAACGGAGAATTCATTTATGCTGCATTTGTTTTCACTGTTATGTTCTTTATAGTTAAACGCAGACATTGAAGAGTTGCGGTCTCTGCTCAAAGTGGCTACGCGTCAGAAAGTGAAGGACGTGCTCGGAATCGAGATTCGGAGGCTGGAAACGAGTCTTATTTTTCTAAAGGCGGCCGAGGAAAGCAAGCCAAATGACCCGTCTGGCAAAACGAAACCTGAAAGTAAACCACGACCAAACAATACCGCGCCTATCTACAAGATTAGAAACTATGGTACAGTTAACATATGCGAATTTTTTTTACATCGTAGAACTGTATATAGGAGCATGCAATTTGGGAAGTTCCTGGACTGTCTTCGCAAACGAACAGAACAGAAAAAAAGATATGCCAAGGTGACAACAGAAGAGATCTGGAGAGATTTGATCTGCGGAGGGAGTACGATGAGGGAGAGGCGATATAGACTACGCTATGATTTCTTCTGCGTGATCGACAAAGCGTTGGCGTTCAGTACAAGTACTGTTGAACTTAGCAAAGTCTCAAATACGGTCCGGGTTAAAGTATTAAGGTTAAAAAAACTGGGATATTCGGGTCAATTAAATACTTCTTCCCTCATTTTATAGAACGTCAGTTAAACTAAAAAGAAAATAATCAGCACTGTAATTGTTTACTATTATTTTTCTGTACAAAGGCTACATTTTACAAAACATACTGTCTAGTCCGCTTACGGTGATTTGTAAGTTCCTTTCAGACCACGAAATGAACAAGTATTTGCTGAATGCGCTATTATGTTGCCTCCGTAACACTGGTTGTTTTTAGTGGTGATCAATGTTGATTTTTAGCTCATCACCTTACACATCAGTAACCCCCATGTTATATACAGAAAAACAATGGAAAAGTTAGAAATCTAAAATACCACAGTGACACTATTTAATGTGTTCAAAAAATCTTTATAGTAGTACATTTCTAAGAATTAACATACATTATTGTGACATGTGTGTTACAGCTTGGGACCAATCGGATAAGTTTGTCAAATTCTATGTTGCCTTGCCCCAGGTTCATGAGCTGGACCCCAGCTGCGTCACCCTCACAACAAGTTCAACAAGTTTTTGTCTGGAAGCGCGGTTCCCTGACAAGGTTCAAATGTTTGGTTTTGAAAACCTGCTTAGTGAGATATCAACCGAAAGGTCACATCATAAAGTAAAGACCGATCAGGTTGTTATCTTTCTTAAGAAAGTGCAGGAGGGCAAAAAATGGGCTTACGTAACGGCCACAGAGAAGCAGCTCAAGGAAGCTCGCGAAGCAGAAAAAATGAAAGATTTTAGTAAGGATAAGAATGAAGACGATCCTTCCGCTGGATTGATGAACCTCATGAAAAGGATGTACCAGGAAGGGGACGATGATATGAAACGGACGCTTGCGGAAGCCTGGACAAAGGCGCAGGATAAAAAAAATTCAATGGATATGTCTGGTGATCTGTAATATGTTAAGACAATAGTGAAATGATAAAATATAGATCAACGATGTATTGGCGTTTGCTCTCACAGAGCAGCACGCGGCATGTGAGGCAGTAGAAAGAAAGGAATATGGAACATCATTCATTGTACGTTTCATGCTTTTGCTTGTTCTTGCTACAGTACTTGTCTTTCTTTCAATCAACATCAACAATCATTCTTTAGTTTTAAAAAGCTGTTAGTGTGTCACGATCGGGCTGGTATACGCTTGTCATTCACTACATTATTTTAAATCTATTAAAGTAGCCATGAGGCTATGGGAAGAACCACCTTTCATTAACTGCCTATATATACGTCCCATTATAAATATAACGTAAATTAATAAATGCTTAATATCTAGTTCAGTTGTTGTTTTTTTTTTGTTAACAGGCCATGTAGACCTCGTTCTGAATGAGCTATTTTTCTTTTCCATGTTTAGATGCTACTCATTATGAACTGAAATTCGAACCAAATCTGTTGTAGGATTCCAGCTAAAAATGAATTCGCAAGAGAGCGCAGTTGAACAGAGCTGATAACGTACACATATTCTTAATCACTAAAAGCACAGCCGTAGCATACATTAGAAATGTTTTAAGAGCGCTTTTTAAATTATTGATTCCGACAAATTAAAAGTATGGAGGACATCTTGCTTTTCGCTACGGAGTACCACACTTCGTTACTTACGATAATATAAAAATGTTTAACCATGTTCTTCTATCTTGAATACAGACTTCATTTTATATTGTTTCTAGATAATAAGATTCTAAGCTAAATAGTTATAGTTGAGTATCGGCAGTAATAGAATAAAAAAATAATGGTGCTTGTCAATGAGATTATTAATTTATACTAGGGAGGAGTATAGTTTTTCTCCTTTTTCGTAGATCTCGATCTTAAAAATGAAAGGATCGATGGTTATGTTAACGGGAAACATACCCTAGATATGGTACCAAAATAAAGGTAAGGTAGACAAGATCTCAAGTAGAATCCGGTTTTAAGTATCAGAAAATACTTCTTACTCAAAAGGGAAAACCGAAGTCTACTGAACCAATTTCACCTAGCATTTAATTATCATACGTAGCCAACTTTAAAGATCTTTTTATTGACCGGCAATATGCTGTTTAAAGCGTATCTAAGGAGCGGCTTAATAAACAACAAAAGTTTAAAAATTAGGGATCGTTGACTTCGCACAGAAGAGTGTAACTCAGTAAAGAAATTATATTATGAAAAAAGTTAACTTTAAAATTTAGCTGTCATTAGAGACACTTCTATTGTAAAGGTATAGTCAGTCCTTCAGTCATATTTATTTACACGCAGTGTTTTTTTAGTGCACACAAAAAGGATACTTTACGTATTCACAGAACCTTTCCTTCATATGGTTTTGTGTTTCAGCCGCTTTTAGGTTCTAGGCACCAGAACACATTACATATAAAATAACAACGTTGAAAAACATCAAGAAGAGACATGCAGTCAACAAACCGCAATTATTTCATTTTTATGAGAAAAAAAATAACATTTTCTACGAAATCCGCCTTCTAGCATATACCTTTTATGTATATATGTTGCCCGACTTTTTTTGCTTTTTTTTTGGTCTTTAGTACCGAGGAAACAAGAAATTCATGAGTGAAGCTTTAAAAGCCAGGAACGTGCAGGACACGTCCCTTCTTCGACAATTTTTTAAGCTTATTGGTAATCTTCGCTTCTCGGCGGGCCAGTAAATTTTGTTTTCGTTTGGCCTGTTTCTCATCCTGCTGCTTCTTAACCGTATCTTGGCGCGCTGCCCACTTTTTCCTCGAACGTTCTTTCATCTTTTCTCGTTTTTTAATGGTTTTCTTTAGTAGCTCGGCATTATCCTTCTTCTTAATGCCTCGAGAACGATCGAGTGCGTCCAACCACATTGATTTTTCTTCGATTGCTGCAGCTTTCTCGGGATTTGATTGCTGGAATTATAACAGTGTAACCATGTCAAATCAATGCAAAATTGTGGTCAACAAAATATAAGATCATTTATTATCTTTGTAATATATACGGTTGAAAGGTCAAGCCTGCTGCTACGGCTTGTTAGATCTACAGAAGATCTTCATAAAAGAAAAAGCATAACGTAAGAATGAGTTCTGTTCACGTAATTAATAAAGCCTCCCATCCCTTTTTATAAACAGCTTACCTAATTCTAATCAATTTGTTCTGTTCTCCCCTTAATAGTGATAGTGCTATTATTATTCTCTTTTTGCACCACTTATTCATATATCCTATCATTAAGGCTCAGGAATTCCATTAGTTGCCGAGGGCTACTTAATATTATTAAATAGTTTAGGTATAGATGCGGTTACTTGTTCTACGTCACGAATATGTTTAGAATTATATTATGTCATTGTATATTTTCCTTTATCTGTATACTTCCGACGAAAAAGCATTTATAAAGCCACACGCAATGTGTCGTAGTGGGTACTGTTAAGGGCACAAAGGAAAAACAATATAAAACTGAAACAGCTTAAACATTGTTCACCCTCACTCGGACATGACTTTGAATGGGTCGTAATAGTGGGTCAGATAATACACAAGGACCATTCGAGAAATATAAACACAATTAATAGAGTAAAAAGTAACTAACCTTAAGTTCTTCGAACTTCTTCTGTTTTTCTTCAATGAACTCTAGTTGCTTTTTGTATCCTTTCAAACCTTTTACATTTGTCATCTTTTTGAGAGCATGATTGTGAATAACAGGTGAATCGGTTTCAGCTGAGTTACTGAAGTCAAATTTACTGAACACCATCTTTCCTTCTGCGTTGTAACTAGGTTTGGCAACACTCGATGCGGTTGCGATCCTCTGTTCGATTTCGTCAGCATCTGGAGGACCTTCTGCAAATAGATGTAAATGACGACGACGTTATAGAACGATACAGCATATATGGAATATAACACCTACACATAAAAATGATATTTTTTCATATATAAGCAATTATAAAAAGCTAAAGCATGTGAAAATTACAGGAGTTTTACATATAGGTTCATTGACTTGAACAACTTGTATGTCAGCCCACGTGAAAGTTTTATCTGCCGTTACTCTTATAACCAACTAATCTGGTTTTTAGTTTTACACCTACTTCTCCTATGCATGCATTGGACAACGGGACGGCGTGCACCTTTGAGGATGCCACCAATGGACTGAATATATAAGCATTTTTGCTGCACTTACGCTTAATTTTGTTTCCGGATTTTTTCTTATTTTTCTGATGTTTCAACTTCTGTAGCTCTCGTCGTGCCCGAATCTTCTCAAGATCCCGGCCTTTATTCATTATCTCAACTTTGGCTCGAAGAGTTTGTTGAAGCGCCTCAATAGACGACGCCCGATCTAGCGCAGCGGAATGTAAAGTGCCGCCTTGTTTACTTAATATATGTAGACGATCTTTCTTCATTTTCCTTTGCTTCCTGTTAGCGATTCCGCGTTCTTGTTCGTCCACCTCTTTAAGAATCTGCATGACACTTTTGTTAATCTGTGGATTGAGCTTGGCGAATTTATGCTTGCCTACCTGGCCCACCTTGAATTTGCTTCCATGGTTACAGCTACCTGTAATGATTTTTCGGGAATTGATACTTAAAGCTAATCGATTGCGAAACAAATGACAAGCAGTAGGTAACATCTTGGCTAATAACTGGGTTACGGTTGAGCAAAATATGCACTAGATATGCATTAGGTTTTTATATAACGATCCGTACGTCAATTATTAAAGGAGCTTGACCATAAATTTTTGCTGGAGTAGCAAAATATATTTGACAGAATAGAGCGGACACTATGATTGAAGCACTTGCATTATTAAAATAAAATATAACTCATCTCTATTATCAGAATCAATGCCTTTTAGGCAGCAGGAAGTTTTACTCTCTCTGTACGAACAGTCATTAGAGAGAACATAGAATATATACATAAGATTCCCTTCGCTATATACATTTTTTGGCACTCCAGCACACAGACAAGTTCAAATACTTGCTTTCAATCAACGATTATAGCACCGAGCGGTGTTCACTTACTAAAAACATCATCCGTCTTTCGTAGAATGTTATCACGGATCTCCTTTGCTGTATCCTGATCGAAGTAGTATCTCGCAGGAATACAGTCCACTAGAGAACAAAAAAACTCGTCATCGCGACGCATCTCCGGCAAGGCCGTTCCTTCCTTCACCATCGGTGAGGAGTTGCCCGCTTCATTTGTCGTACGCATCTTCTACACACTTGCATCCGTCCATGTACAGCTGAACTACACTGTGAAAACGATCATAGAGATCGACATAAACGTTAACCTTTGACCACTTTTGATTTCTGACAAATATAAAAAACAAGAGAAAAAAGGACCACGTTTTGCCTGTGCGGATGAAGTGTGAGCCTCCTGCTTTATGCACGGGAGAGTTACAGACACCGTGTGGATAGACGCCAACGAACGGGCGCTCTTCTCTGTTATTGTGTTCTTTCGCTGCAGCAGCTCGTGTTTGCAGACGACGCCCACGTGGTGCCTCGCACCAAATGTGAATAGTTTCCCCTCCCTTTATTGATTTTTATCCTTGGAGAAATCTTGCGCAAGGATCGGCGTATCATTATAGGAGCGATCCTTAAGGAAAACTTTCGTTTTAGTTAACTTAGAGGTATTACATTGTGTAGCGGTTCAATAAAAGGCGTAACTGCCATTTGTACAGGCGCATCCTCCATCTTGTAAAGGTCTATTTACTAACAGTTACTTTAATGCTGTTGTGGTACGCCGAATAATCATCTGCGCAATTTCGTGTACAGTGTGATCCGAACTGACTTCCTGGCCAAATTCCAGTAAGTGCATATAGCAAAATCGTTTACAGAGCCTTTAAAATCTGCTCAAAAGAACACAGTCGACAGATGTCGAAACTCATATGTAATGTCGACTTCATGCCATGGTCCTATAACTCGCTAGTTGGGCGAACAGCTGATTTTTTAGAACTGTCATCTACAGAGACGGATATATGTGTGTAATATTATATAGTGCGAAATTCTTACTATTTGCATGGTCTCGATTATTTGATGGTACTCTTATAGGGGCAATTTTTGTGTTCTTGTTTAGCGTGCCTGATGCCGTCTTAACGTAAGAGAGGCAAAGCACATAAATGGTAGTTAAGCTATATATGAAATCCAAACGACACATATACAATGTGCCCAATGCAGCTGCTTATTTTAAATATTGCTAGATCGAAGCATAACTAGACTCAAAGTACAAAATGAAATGAAAGCATTGTTTCTATTCGTGCAGCGCATCACCTTGCTATTATCACAAAAAATTTGATATAATCTAGTAATACATAATGTAAGGGGATGAAGTAATGTTAAATCGTTGCGATGACCCTGGAACCAGAGACGCCTGGTTTTGAAGGCCGTTTTCGGCGCGATTTCGTCGTATCGTGTTGCTATACCAGGTTTGATCGGTTTACCGTCAAGGTCCTAAAGGCTGCCCATATGGCGTACCGTTCAACATTAACAAAGAGGACATACAGTTAGAAGTAGGTTTTAAGAATCAACAGCAATCCAAATGAATTCATTAGATGCTCATATAAGTATGTCATATCTCGTGAAATCTTGAAATATTTCGATAGTGTTTATATTGTTTAGTGGATCTTTTGCCCATAGCGTAGCGTATTACAGTCAAAAAAAGGTTCACACGATTCAAACGTGGCTTTCCTTCGCGTTGTTTGAACTAATAAGATTTCACCTTGACCAAACCGATCTATTTAGCTGGAAATTAGTATGGGATACGTTCTCCCAAAAAATACTGAAAAAAAGTTAGCTGCCTAAAGTCAAAGTGGATACTATAGGTATAATCAATATCATAGTTGAATGTACAGTTGAAGAACAATCGTTTTGATATCGAACTTTGTAACAAACGAGTGCGTCGAGTATAATCAGACATGCATAGCTGATGGAGCACAGCTAGCTGATGAAGGTGGCTTGTGTCGCAATACTTTCCATGGGCATCTTTTCTAAAGAAGAACTGTGAACTTGCGGAAATGATACATTTAGCAATTATTTACTTGTAATAGCTATTTCACCCTCTGAGCAGACGAGCAATTTAATGTTATTATTAGTTATGAATACGAAAAGTCAGTCCTCTTCAGCACAGCAAACGAATACAGTTTCATTTTCGGCTACTCCTGTGAGCTTCTGGGTTGTCTTCTACAAAAAACGTGTGAATCTTATGATGTAGATAGCCACGCGACTGTCGCAACCGGTATACAATATAAGTATATACAATATAATACGCAACCTATTTGAAAACAAGATAATTTATTTAAAAGATTCAACTGACAGGCAATACAATAGCCTCTTTATTCAAAGAACTGTTATGCGACACCGTCGTATGATCAGGCATGACATCAGTTAGAGACTACCGCGTCAATAGTAAATATAAATGCTCATGGATATTTGTTGGCCGTGGTCTCATCCTTATAAGAGATTTGGTTTGATGTACGTTACTTTTAGATCATGTCCTCTGCATCGCCAGGTGTAGATTCGGCCTTCAAAAAATTACAGAGGTTTCTCTTTATGGGAGCTGAGAATAATCGGTACGTATGTCGTTTCTGTTTGAATAGAGTGTCAAGACATTTTGCAGTGTATCCAGATGAAAATAGCAATAGTGATGAAATATTATGAAAGTTTTCTGGCGGACACATTGCCTTGAATGGTCTCCACAAAACTTTTTTCCACTGTAAGGGAGACACAGAGATATTAACCTAATAATTTGCCTTGAGGAGTTTAATGATGGCTAGAACATTCAATATTGCCTAGAAATAGTCTTCGTCAACTATTCTCATATATATATATATATATATATATATATATATATATAGTGAATATTCACATTTTAATGGTGAACCGTGCCAATTCTGCCATTACTATAGGTATTTGCATAGGCGGCGTCAGTTGACTAGCGACCATGCATGGCACATCAAAGATCTTATACACCAAGGTCGTGGAATAGAAATCGTTCGCGAAGTCGTACGCTTTTCAACGGAGCAAATATCAATATGTCCAGAGGCGCTTGCTTTCGTCTTGGCTATCTGCGCTCAGTCGACGGATCAGGTTAGCTCGAGCTCTACGTTATCTAAAGCCTTTTCGCATATCTCCGGGAATATTTTTTTTAAATTATTGATACAATTATATTCATACAAATGCGTCAGACGATACATCAAGAAATCCAATTCCAAGCCAGATTTCAATAAGTAAAAATCCGTATGTAGTAGATTTTGGCTTGTCAACTCTTTAAATACCTTTTAAGGGCGGCGACACACTGTTGGACCCATCTTTATGACCTTATTATAAGAAAAATTCAATTTCAGAAGGTCCATCGGGTCATTTTCATAGTCTTTATGGACGCAACGCGCTCATTTTAAATTAAAAGTATAGGTAAGGCAAGAATACCGAAGCAAATATGTGTTAATAATCGTTTCCTGTATTGACATTTCTGTTAAGGCGACAAAAAGCGCAGCCTACAACTCCTTGAAGCAGGTCTGTAACACGGCACAACTACTATTCGCGTTCACCAAATTCATGGAGGAAACCCAACGGCCAATGAGCACCGGATGGGGCCGGGCTCATCGGCGAGCCGTTACGAATTGGTACTGTAGTCGCAGCCCGACGGAATTAGCTGAAATTGTTACAAAGACGGTATCTCGATATCGATGGTCACACCGTGACCTGCTCAGATTGGCTCATGTAAAACCGCCTACACCTGGTCAGTATAAGCAGCAGATGATTAATAATAATCGGTAGGTTTAGATGATTTCAAAAATATTTGGGGATTATCTGACATCAATATTGTGTACCCGAAGTATCTTCAGAATCTAATATTTTATCGAGCCGTTAATACGAGCTTTGTCAGTGTGCTCCTGCTTGCGAAGGTTTCTGATACTATCGGTTAGTGTATTTATCGGTGGCACGTATTATGCTTGAAAATTTACTATGTATCAAGAGATCATTACAGACGCACAATAGAGTAAAGAATCTTAATAGTTCTCACACGTTCAACTACTATGTTTTCAGGAATATCATGTGTTTTTCGCTACGTGTCGAAAGGATTTATAGCCACACGTGAAGAGTATGCTTCGAGCCAAGATCTAGATGTACAAGACGCGCTGCGCTACTTACGGGCTGTGCATGAACTTAAACACGCACCTACGGAAGATCAAGCCGCCTCGATTATCGATAACCGACAACTTGCGGTACGATGACTATCCAAATATAGAATTGCTCTTACCAGACCAATTTCACATTCATTTTATGAAATTACCTATAATTACAAATTTCAAGCATGTTTTGTTCTCTATTTCTCAACCTAATTCTTCCATGTCACCAGAATTTTTTGAAGGAATTCACAAGGTAGTTCAACATTAAATCCCAATTGCACGCTATGAAAAGTAAGCCTTCAAACAAGAGTATCGCGTTGGAATTATGCAGAAATATTGACAGAATTGCTCATTCGCTTCAAGTTTATCGTTTTTGTTTTCGAATCACGGGCTCGCTTCTTCTTCTCATGATAATTACAGTATTCTTCTTTAATAGCCGTAACGATTTTTCTGTATTCTTAACATCACAGGTGGAGCATATCCCGACGCACCTTTTGCGATCGCGCGATGTCTGGCTTGCCTGTCTTCCACGTGCGCCGATTGAATCGCTACTGTTATGGCTACCCCACCTTGTGCATTCGAATCTGCTTCGTCCAAGTCTCGGTTTACTTCGGCCACTTTTGCAAAGGTGAGCGTTTGTCCCGTAGCACCTCACATACTTTGATGCCGCTAGAACAACATGTTAGATTGACGACGATTAAACTTCTGGCAGAGAAAGCCGGGGGTTGTTGGTTCAGGTTTTGCCAGGTAAGTGCTGCCAAGAGTATGTGTGGTTAACAGAGAGTGCACTAATACTCTGCAGTTCAACCAAATCAAGAAAAGTCCTAGAATTGTGACCAAATGAATGGGGTAGATAAACACAGAACAGCCGTAGATATCTGTTACTACATCTGTGCGATTTTAAACTTGTTCGGAGGCATCTGGTAAAAAAGAGCCGTGAACTTAGAGAGCTTTTTTGCGTCATTTTTTTACTGGAACTGTAGAATATCGTCGGACAACGTGATGTCGGCATGTCCTTGGGGTCCTTGCGCAACTTACCTTTTGCTACGTGCGGTCGGTGGTGACGGAGGAGGCTGTGGAGGTTTTTCGGTGGTAATTGGCGACCCTGTGATTCTCCCCCCAACAACAAAAGTACCTCCGGTGCCAAGACAGCTTCAACAAGTCCTTTACACTTTGCATATGGCGTCGTTTAAGGTGATTGCGATTGTAGATGTTTCAAAAAATACATTTGAAGTGTTCGTTCAAGTCTGACATTGTCGTTTTAGGTTCATATCTAAAATACAGGCCTGTAAGGCATAGCTTAGGATCTTGCTCATATATTTGATATTTTATATTAAGACTAAACAAAGTCGTTGTTGGGTGCGCTTTTCACGGAGCTTTATTGGTAGTCGATTCTGCTCAAAAAATTCGGACATTTGAAGCATTTATGTTTGCCGTTGTATTGTTTGCCTGTCATTAATGATCTAGGTTTCATACAAAATTTCACACGATATTTGACAATATTATTCAATGCAATCATCTCATTAACAGACATTAAAGCCAACGAACAAACGATACCTTGTGGTAATGGATGTTCGAGGTACTATGTGGGAAGGCGGGCCCGCTGGCAACCCAGTCACTTCCATCGAGGCGTCAGTTCTCGTCGCCATGGGACTATGTCGAGGTGAGGGACTAACGGGTGGTCGTGTTCAGGCGTTGGCTTTTGGCCGAAGCGGCCTGCGGGATCTTGAAATCAATGCTAAAATGACGATGGCGGATATTCTACAGAGATGCGAAGCTGAACCCGGCGGAACGGCCAGCTTAACACTTCCATTAAGGTAAGACTCTAATGATAGGTAATATTTTGACGTGATTTTATGCACTTCATAGATACTGGCAATCCACGATTGTCTATTTTAAACAATATTAACAGATTTAGGCTTCTCAATGCCCTACATTCAACGTAGTCGACTCCGTGATAAGTATAATTATGATTTAAAGATCTTTGACGGAGTTAAAGGAAGGTGTTTTATCGATCGCCGTTAGGATCTTTGAGTTATCATGAATTACAATACTAGTAGGGATTAAAAAAAGGTGAGGAGATTCGATCAGGATCCCTCTAAGAAACAAAAATTTTAATTGGCAATCACATTTTTACTACTAATAGGAAAATTATAAACTTAGTAAAAATGTATATATATTCCATTTGAATGCAGTACGCTAAAATATAAGTGAAGGGTAGGAATCGATACTATTTCAATATTTGATTATTGATAATTTTTTGTACCCCTACAGGTGGGCAGCTCAGCGAGGTTTGGAGTTTGATGTGGTAATCGTTTGTACGGATCGGCAGTGTAATACTGAGGATACTGAGCACCCGGCGCAAGCACTCAAAGACTATCGAAGTATGGCCAACCTACCTAATGCAAAGTAAGTATTTTTGTACATTAATGTTAGAAAATGCCACCTTTATATTATATATAGTAACATTGTCACACAGTGATGTAGTCAAAAGACAGTGCCCAACAAAGGCGATGCAGTTATTAGGATATATCCGATGCAAAGTCTAAGTTTTGTCGAGATCCTCAAGGCCCTTTTTTGTTGGGACAACAGTGATCTCAGACCTTGAATTATATCAGTCAGCTTTAAAGATGTTCATGATCTGAGAACAGCATCTTATCGGGTGAAACAACGTGATACAAAAACGGGTAATACAAAATTTCTGTTTGATTGTTCTGTGCTTATTCAGATTTGTGACCTGCGCCTGGACGTCACGCGGATTTGCTGTAGCCCCACCGGATGAAAGTGCAATGATGGACGTGTGTTGTTTCGATGAAAGCACCCTTAAACTGATCACCAATTTTGCTAACGACAATTTCTAACAAAATTCTCACTGACGGATGCAAAATATCATCTTCAGGGAGCTACATTAACCTAAGCGCAGAACTGGTGAAATACGTAAAATGACAGTGAACAAATGCGGGAAAGAAATACACAGACATTTGACAAAAATCAAACGAAGAGAAAGAGAAGATTGATATCATTTTGCCGGGTACAAGATCAAAATTGCAACAACATCGAACAACATCCGTTTTGAAGACTATAAAAGTTCGGGGTATCCCCGGCATAGACCCTCTCTCCACAGCAAATGTACAGGAAGTGGGTAATTGTAAAGAAAGATTCTATGCTGATTAAATGAGAATAGAATTCTCAAAGAAATTACCAATTTATGCCTGGCGCCAATGGCGATGAAGCGCTGATGTTGAAAGGATTTCGATATTTCTGATATTTACGTTAAATTATATAGCTGTCTTTCTCCAACTATCACAAGTTGTAATCATTATCACCATGGACGTATGGAATAAGTGATACCTAAATGGCAATGGCATTGTCTGGAAAGTGAACATGCGTTTAGTAATTGAGAACGTACGTGGCTATTGAGTTGACGGTTCAGCATCAATCAGCATTTCATCAAGCGTTGGCGCAGGATAGGTAGTGCATTGATATTACTAATACTAACTACTAATCAATTATAATGTCCGTTAAAAAGCGGATAGTGTCTACTTTTCCTCGCCTATTAATTACCTCACACTTTATGTATACCTTATGTATATTATATATAAAGAACGGCACCATTATTATTATTCTTACTACAGCTATCCTACTACAGCTATTGATTGGAGCTCTGGCGATTGTCGCTATACATATACATGCTATGTGTACATTTACACGTAATGAGATAAAATGGCAACCATATAGTGATTGCGTTAGCTTTTCCATATATTATTATCTATTAAAAGCAGTCATGATAAGCGATGTACCAAACGTACGAATTGGCGTGAATGTAGTACACGTTCGTGAAGTGTTTTCACCGATGTTTCGAATTATGCTTAGGTCGGAAGAGAAGCACCTATAGCAAACAACAAGCAAAACATTATTGCTGGAATTATTGGAATACGTAAACGATTCAGACGCTGAATGAAGCTATCGTTCCATACGTGGCCAAACCAAAAAACGCCGACCAACTTTAGGTGCCGCGAAAAATTTACTTGGCTAAATCGTAATCAACTGAAGATTTAGCTAGATCATCTATCAAATGATCACCGATGATTACGACTACACTGTGCAACAGTTATCAAACTCTACGGAAGATTTAAATAACGCAGTCACTGAAAAGCGTCGTTGTAGAATTATTTTCAGTCCATTTTGTGAAGTTATCCTTTGTCCTCCATTACGACGAACATGTTAGATCATTATGGTTTTTGTTATACTATTATTCTTATTAATGTAATTAGGGATATGCATCTGTTCTCCTCATGCGTTGTCATATATATATATATATATATATACACGTGTGCTACCGCTCTTACTAATATTATATAAACATAATCATGATTACTCGTTGTAGAGTTATTTTTAAGACCAGTATTACTATCGTTAGAGAAAGCTCTCCATATAATATATGGTCACTAATAATGACCATATATTTAATTTTGATGAATAAGTATATGCGTGCGCTGGTCGACTGCGTCTCGACATATATCAAGCATTTATCTGGCCTGTATTTGCTTAGCAAGCGCTCTTACAATTGTAATCATAGCAGAGTTGTAGCAAAGTCCTACCTGTATCGTGGCACAGAGCAACGCGCTGTTTATTGGAGTGCATGTAATCGTGTATATATATACACCTTGCTGAGGGCATAAGAAATGTTGAGAGTGTTAGTAAATGACGATCGATGATCATGGGTGGGGTTGTACTCGGTACACTGACATACGTTGAAGAGGGAAATTGACGAAAAAATAAATCTTCTATTTTGAGGCGTCAAGTTCTAAGACATCCTGTCTAGTTGCGCGGTGTATTTTACCCTTTAATATACAAAACACGTAGTTGTTTGTGTTATCTATTGAAAGTATTTCTAGCCCACTGTATCACCTCCGAGGCTCTATTCTAAACATCCTTCTCCTAACAAAATCTTGCATTTAGCGATGATTCATAACGAGGAAGAAATATTCATAAAATATTTCATCTACAAAAGATGATAATTAAAGCTTTAGTACATTAAGGGTGTTCGCTTAGTATATAAACAAGATTGAGAGATATTGACCTATAACTTTTCTCAAGGCACGTATATGCCCTAACCTCTTTTGCGCTTTAAGTAGCTTGTGATATTCTTCGAATGAATAGATGCAACCAGAAGTCAGTGTTACACGTTGACAAGAAAAATTAACGATACCTTGCCTTCACGGCATTTTGTGGTAGGATTACGCTAGCAGTTGGCAGAACTCTTCTATATAACATAAACAAGCGCTGCTTGAATTAGTCTGTTGACAAACGGATTCGTCATAGGACTGTATCTAACAAATTCTGGGGCGCTTCAAGTGACGCTTCTTTCGCGCTCCTTTCGCAATTAAGAACACATAATTAACACATGAACACATTAAAACACGTAGCCCAAACTAGTTCACGCATATTAAATCGGTGAGCCGTACAACGGAGAAATTATTGCCATTTGTGATGAATTCTTTTTACGAGATAGCATTAGGATATAACAAATATTCAGTGCACAATGGAATCGTAGAGCACAACTATGACCGTAGTATGCTCTGTTATAAATATTACCCAGTTTGACTCAGTATCGTGATATGAATAAAACTGTGAATAGAAACGTCAGACGAGCTGAGAAAACTCAAACAAGTTGTCACGTAAGTAAACTAATCTGATATATTTATCGGTTACATTACTTTTGCTGACAAGAAAGCAAATTTCATATCGAATAGAACCGCTTATCGAGTTGAGGTTGCCATAAGGTAACGATCGAAAATAAGAGGAAGGCAGAAACAAACAAAAAAAAAATCAGCCGACTACATATATTAAGTTATGCCAGCCGTCTTTTCAAATCACACTGACATGCTGGCGGGCACAAGGAAGTACATAGATCGCACGAATATAATTACGACTATATTACTATTATTCTCCCATGTCTTTAACAGGATATTGTCGGTAGCGTCTGTGGTCTGGCAAAGCGTGATATATCGTCATTGATCCGGTACTAGTGTCAATCCCTTTGCTGGAACGCGTTACGACGACCCAGGACAAAGGAAAGCGGATGTCGAAACGAGTGTTGTAGCCTTCGTAGAAAAGGCTTAAGGGACAAAAAATCCGTGCACGGGCGAGGCTCTTCATTTAATGTGACCGTGTTACTGCCAGCACGCATTACTTAATGGATGAAGTCCACGTAAGTTGGCAGATTACGATTCACACTAGCGTTCATGCGTTTGCATGGAAGTGTATTAGTATCTGCCTTGGTGTGGTGTAGATAAAAGCGGCGCGAAGAGAAAGAATCAGAGGAATACAATTCGAAGTTTAAATTGTCGTAAATTGGAATAGCCAGACAGGTAGGCAGGCAGATAAGAAGGTCAGTTCAGGTTGACACACAAACAAAATCAGCCGTAATCAGTGATATTGATATATAATTATAAAGAATAAGAACATTAGAAAGATAAGCCCTAGAATTATATTTTAAATGTGAAACTTTCGTTACCTTTCTTCCTTTGGTCTAAAAAAGTAACAAACCAGAGAGCAACAGATACCAGCGCCACAGTTTTCGTTTCGAAAAAATAGAATCATTGTACGAAAACCGTGTATTATCATAAATACTGTAATTCTGATTAAGATTACCAGTTTGTTACGATGGCGTAATGAAAAGAAATATGGATCAGATAATGAAATAACCTCTAATACTTGTATATGCGTTTGTATATATCTCAATATATATATAAGAAATAAATGTATTAAGTCGAGGACGAAACCGAGGAACAAGTTTGAGTTCAGGCGTGCCAAAGGCACTACAATAATAAAACAGTTGGTTAGATTATAACATAACTTTACGTGCAAGGATAATAACAACAACCGAAACCATCTGTGTTAGTCCTGAACATTTACTATTGTTCAGTTTATATTACTACCGCTAGAAAGATAGTCATTTGTAGCCATGTTTACAAAAGGGTCTAGCCTAACATGACTTTGTGAAATCGCGCCGGCTAATTAAGCTATATGAGAAATCATATTACAAAAGGAAATTGCATTACTGTTTATTGTAAGAATAACTTTTCGGCTTATCATTTCTATGGACGACGGCGTACATATCCGGATCAAACAGAAGCAGGTCGCTCTACGAATTTTTGTTTCATATACGCAAACAAAGATAACTGCCTCTTGTCATTACTGATACTTAGTTTTATCTTTTTCTGTCTCCCAATAATATTATGTAAATTAAAAAAATGAAGAGCTACAGCATAAACTAAAATTGATTTTATCGTGAAATCTTACGAATGCAGGCAGTATGCCGAATATAAAAAAAGATAATGGAGCTCTTTTCATGAAAAAATAGGCAAAATTTATATAAAAGTATATACGTATACATTTCGCAACACACAGAATATCTACAAATCAGTTACATTTCTACTAGAAGCAGCAATTGTCAGGATGTTTATTAATGCTCTTTTGTGTCTGACATGAGAACGCGGACTCTGTGAATGTTATTTTTTGTTATTTGAAAATGCATACATACATACACTGTTGTATTTTTCTGGTGCGTAGTAATCAGAAGCTATTCTCAAACAATGAGTCGGCAGAAAAATGAACGATTTTGGAATATTTTCTACAAAAATAAAGCAAATAAATGAAAGCTAGAGAAAATAAGGTAAATAAATGTGTGAGCACCAAAAAGTTAGGGAGACCAGAGCTTAAATGAATGCGAATGAAGTACGAAATGTGGAAACGAATGTATAACATAATGAAGTAAACAGAAACAAATGTAGACTGTGAAGAAAATTAAATTGCACGTTTATCGCAAATTTGTTGGGCTAATATATTTGAGCTCAAAACCTCTACTCTCTAGATTGAAAAATGTAACAGTAAATATCAGAATTGATGCCAATAAATTCGATTGGAATACATATGAGTCAGAGACGAAAATAAATTGAACGAAGAATCAATGGAGACACAATGAATACGTGTAGTTATTTGGGACTTGAATAAAAGTCTGCTGCAAGTGAGCAGTTTGCCTGGTATTAAGGAACAGTAAACATCTAAACTATGTAGTGTATTTAGTTTGGACCTGACGGTAAGTTCAACTAAACGACAACGAAACGGATACCACTCAGAAATTATATTTCGTCGAACTTCTGCTATATATTCTCTAACACTGAGGCGCAAATAGCACGCGCTTCAACCAGGTCAGGATACTCTCCAGAGGCCAATTCGCATAAACCAACAGAGCTTTCGAGAAACCTGATCTAGCTTTATTTATTATTACTACAACCATGTTTTGCAAGATTATTGCGACAGCTCAGCTTGCAGATACCGGATTCTATTTCTGAGTATTTGTCAGAGCACTGTGGGCGTTATCCAGCATTTTCTAACTCTAATACTCGCCAAATTGCTACGTTAGTCTATTCTTATTTCTGGACCGGTATTTATTTGAACACTACTTCCATCCTGTAAGAATCGTTCAGAGGCCAAATTTACCTTTGGTGCAATACAAATTCATCTGTTAATTCTTATAATGCTGCTTAATTCTCATAGAATTATTGCCGAATCTGATGACACGAATGTAGTCTGGTGATAATACCACCGCTGCCGCCGTGACAACTAAGAACGTGCGACAATCCAGTGGCATGCCGTACAAAAATCCTCAGTAAATACATTAATTACTATTATTCACTCGTGTCTCAGACACATCACTGTAAATTCATTTGCAACTAATGAGATTGCAAAATGAAAAAGGAGGAAAAAAAAAAGGAGTGTCATAGAGAAACTTATCACACGACCTTAAAAAACCCCGACCAGTAGCGACTCATTTGCTGTTAGTGCTCCGACATGCTGTTTCCTATGTGAAATATAGGTAAAACTGTTGCCCTTGCTATTGGCCTTTTTTTTTATACCCGTCTCTTGTTTGGCCAACACCATCTGCTCTGAGCGATGTGCACATATAATACGCCTGCAGCGATGAAAACATTCGTTATTTAGAGTCCAGCCCCACGCCTCTATTGCAGTCGCCGGTCGTGGGATGCGCAAATTAAACAGTAAATCGGGGAGCAGCCAGAAGCTGACGAAGTCTATAGTGTTTTGGTGGTGGTGGGATTTTGACCACCATGAGTGTCACTTTCTGCTCACTGACGGCGTATTTTTTCCTGGCTTTCGACTATTCGCCAGCTTGGATCGGTCGAACAGCGTTCGGATCGAAGGATGCGCTCATCCAGGCAATTCGTACCGGCATGGATATAGGAAAAGGATGGTGATGTAACCGTTCGTTTGCTGATCTGTCTGTCTGTCTGTCTGGTTTGTCTATAACTGTGTGTATATCGCCCGACAGCCTTTGGTCCTCCGCATGTAATCAAGTGCTGAGCGTAATATCTTTTTTCGCTTTCGTATCAACTGTGGCATCTTCGCTCGTTTAGTCGCTTGCCTTGCTCACTAGCTTTTTGCCTTCGAACTTCTGACCACTTACAACGTGGGCAGAGTCACTTTCAGCAATATAAAAAGAAGCAGCGGCGGAAGTAGCAAGAGCGGGCTGGTGGTGTCATCGATTGCATAATTCACGAGTATTTGTTTCTTTTTGCTATAGGCGCAGTTTGTCGAACAAATGGTTGAATGTCCCTTGTGATTAATATACGACCCATGTGTGGGTGTGTATGTGAATCACACCAGTGAATTAAAAGATAGAAACAGCCAGTGTCAGCTTTTTAAATAAATTGATTTTTGCTGCTGGCAGTAATTGTACGAGAAATTCTATTCCTGTGGATGCCATAACTTGTCCCTAAAAAGAACACATTTCGCAATGCGTACTGGTACTTGCTAATTGACTATTGATTATTCTTTTAATGGCAAGCCGTAAGTTTTATGAAATAGTAACAAGCCATAGGTACTACCGCGTGTGTTAAAAGAAGTGGCGAACGTAATGAATCAAGTTTGCTATAAAACAATCGCAACATTATTCTTTTAGAACTCCTTTTGTAATAACGCAGCTATTAAAAGTTGTGTTTTGTTATGAACGTGTGTTAACAAAATCACGTCAATAACGAATTTAGCATTCCTTTTTATCATAAAAATTTTTTTTTTTTTCTAGAAACCGCCGAATTATTATAAATAATTGAATCATTGACAGTTTTGACAGAATCCATAAATGTGTACCATCGAGTCGTACGTTTCAAATTTATTGTAATAGCACAAATGAAATCTGTTGATCCCAAGCTCAAGTGAATATTGACATTTGTAACTAAGTTCCTAGTAAGTTAAGCGTGGCTATAAGTATGTCGTGGTAATATCTAGGGATCCCCGATTAGTGTGTTTAGTAGGGAATTGTTTGATTTGCGACGGTGATTTTCTGTAGTCGTTCCAAATTTGGCGATATTTCAGCGAATAATCGCCTGCCTTAGATAGGTAACAATCTGCTGATACTGTTAATCCCATGTACATATATGCATGTCATATATCTGAATGAAGATAGTGGCGACGGAAAAATGCATAAATAAACTACCGAAGGATGTTTACACCGCTATTTTCAACCTTCCGTGCCGCCTATAGTTATCTTCGTCGCTCTCTTCAACACTGCGCAAACATGTAAACATGAAAGCTACGAGGTATGGAAAGGGTGATCTTCTCGAAACCGGCCGACCCAGAAGTCGCCGACTAAATGATTACTATACTTCTGCACGATTTTGCCCTTACCATCTCTCCACCGTTCAATCGCCAGCAGTTTCGAGTTTAATTACCATTTCGTTATGAGAATCGTAGTATGCAATAGAAAGAAAAATCCTAGGGTAAATTAAGTAGGGGGAATCTGCGCTCAGAGCCACTGCTACTGGGCTTTTCTTCTCCTTGATAGTTATTGCAAGGTACAGACAGGCCGTGTTACAGTCTAAACTTTTGAAACGTGCAATTGTGATTGCGCTACTATCGGGGGTGGACTTAATATATGCTTGTGCGTGAATTCCTTTTCAGAGTTACAACCAAACCCAAGTCATCATTAGCTGAAGCCACTACTGACACCCTCTCTAATCCATATGTACATCTACATGACACATCCATTCGGTCGAGAAAGTCTGTCTAGGTTGTTAGTTCTTGCGTATGACTGCTGTTTATAGGTGTCACGGTCGTAGCGACTGTAAACCATCAACGTAGCGAAGCAAAACGGCACGATGTGGGAGCAACGGGCATGTTGAGAACATAGAAGAGCAAGGCGGAAATCGCTGGGATTGTTCGCATTCGGAGGTTGTCAGCTGTGGGATTCTAAGGCTGAAGGTAGAATATTAGTGCTTAATACCTCTGCCGTCACTTGGTTAGAGCTGACCGACTGAGGTGGCATGATCGTAGCGCAAACGGTAATCATGAAAGCAATGGGAAGCTGGCGGCTGCACATGTGTATGGGTATGTGTGACAGCTGGCAGACGACAACGTCAATTGGTAACGGTAAAAATTAGAGTTGTTAGTAGCTACTCGTAGGGAAGCAGCGACTGATATAGCATATAGTGCTGTGCTGATCGTGATAGTTATGGCAATAGCGGCAGCAATTGTGGTAGGTATAAGTGGCTAGGGGACTGCAAAGAACCCTGGAGTGAAACAAGTAGTTCTTCGCCCTACTGCGGGCCTGGAAATGGCCAAGGATTAAGAGAAGAAGGAACAGTTGCTTACTGTTGCTTCGAGCATGGATTTCGTCAATGAAAGAACGGTAGAGGCTTCGCTTAGGACTCAGGAAAGCTGGTTAGGAGAAAGTGCCGCTTAAGTTAGGGATGAGTGTGAAGTTGTCCGTAAACTCGTCGGCTCTTGCGTCTTGTGCCTTCATGATTTCCGTATCATGCTACAATGTATCTGCTGCAACGTGGCCTAGAAGGTTTGTTCGTTTCACGTTTGCAGGTTTCCTCTTCGTGGTTCCATAACTGTATGAGTTATATCCATCATGTACATGGGTGTACGCTAACTAGTGCGTATGTGTATATCTGTAGGTAGACCTTCCCATTTTGTCGCTTTTGGCCTGCTCGACTGGGCAGGAGCAAAGATGACTGTGGGATTTACCACATTAACAAATAGCCGTAAGGAAGAGGATTGACTCCTATGGCTAGTAGACGGGTTGGCGATCAGATAATTATAAAAAAATGAATAATCTTTGCTTCTGTTAATATATGTCATAGAAACAAAACCCAAGTGAAAATTGCTTGGTAAAATCTAATAAATTACTTATGGTGCCAGAACTCGACGAGCATTACGAATTTCGCTATATACAGCCCTTAGTAGTCTATTCTTACTAATACTACTATAATTTTATGGTTATGCGCGTGCTAGTGAGATACTCTCCTCTAGTGAAGATCACAGCTAACTCAGCGATACTAAAAGTGAATTGAAGGGAAAATGATTCGAAATGCATCGTTTGAAAGCGTATTAATAGAAGATTTCAACTTTGCACAAATGAATGAAGCTTTAAAAAGTAAAACAGCTGATGGTGTTAAATATATGATTTGAATGCAACAATAAAGTGCGGCGAACACAGCTAAAGCCCCCTAGGTATCGATGCTGGGATTACGTCAATATGCAACCAAATACGGCTCTCATTTTTCCAGTATGAGAAGCATCGTCTGTGGTGTGTCTCACGACAAAGCATGCCTCTTTTTGGTAAAACATATCTGTTTCTAACGGTCCCAAGAACAAAGACTCGCTAATTTATACTAAATACAGTATACATAGCAAATCTTTCTTTGTGACCTTGTTTTCTCCGTTCTAGTCAAAGATTTAGCAGTTGACATCCTATCGTGGGTGTTTATATATGAGGGATTCATTTACATGGATGCACGTTACATTTATCCCTAAACCACTTCTTCGTTAAGCTTTTATGTGTCCATCAGGATAATGCTATAAGAAAAGGCAAAATATTTACAACCAAACCGGCAACTGGGGAAAGTAATATCAACCACTTTGCCATGATATTATCATATTATATTCAAGCATAAAATG